CCCCCCCCCCCCCCCCATAACTTTTCTAATGGTCCCTTAATTTGGACAAAAACGCAAGTGAAATTATTTACTAATTTCACAAGTATACCATTTGATTACCTATTAATATCACGGGTGACATTGCGCAAAAACAAAAGAAACTTGTCAGTACCCATGATATTGAGAAATAAAAGTTCACGATGCTCCCATAAATTTGTTCAAATATCTGATAATTTTACTCTTCTTCGACTTTTATGCAAGGATGCTGTTAATACTTACCTAATATCCTCTAACTGTTCAAATATAAAAGGCAACAACATTTGGACATACACATCACCATGTGAACGTCGTGCGGCTTCCATTTCCTGTGCACCTCTCGTGAAGGAAGGTGGCAAGGGGATATCCAGATGCCATTTTCAAAATAACCAGAATTAGTTCCATGGCACTGTTACAAAACACGTCACTGTTCCAGGTCTTAAGGATGGATTTCCTAACCCTGCATGGTCTTTCCCTAGTGTTCCTCGGCCTTATGCACGCATACCATGATCGAATTTGAATGTAGGTCATATAAAGAGGTCCAGTTTCACTGCCGTTGGTGAGTATAGTTGAAAATATGGTTGAATTTAGGAACAAGTACAGTTGAGACCAGCAAACAAAGGCAGTTACTGTAAATCCGAACTGAATCGTGTTTATTGTTTATGAACTAGTAATGCCCCGCTATACGGGGCTTTTAACAAAATGTTTGGCCCCGGGGAGCCGGGAAATTAGCAGTGTTTTAACACGCGGCCAATTTTAAATTCCCCGCCAAGTCGCGGGGGTCGGGGGGCCCGAGTTTCAATTGACTGATGCATAATGTCATGCTCCTTTAAAAAAGTTATGTTTTATCCCGAGATTTAGAAAGTAAACAAGTTGCAACTGAAATTAAAGATACCATTATTTAACTTTGAAATATTTGTCGTGTAATGCATGTATGCCTTTATATTTTGTTGTCGAAATAATAGCCCTTGCACGTTACGAGCCCATTAAGCAGACTCAAATATATTATATTAACTAGTAATAACCAAAAGTTACGGAGTGCGGGAGACCACGATCGAAGGTCAAAATCACTTTGCTTTGCGTACTAAGTTTCACGTGAGAGATAGTCATAACACGCGTAATCAGATTACGAGTGATAGAAGGTCCAGACGCGCCTGATCATATTGCGTTCTATGCATTACGTTCATTCTTAGTGGAAGTCCAAACCACTGCTGGCTACATACATGAGACGCACGCGCAATAGCAACCTGAAGATTAGGATTGCGGGCTCCTCTTGTCGCCCGCAATAAATTCGTACCAGTTTTAACCGGTAACGGTATTGAGAACGCTATCAACAACGATTTAAAAAGGGTGATTGTGCTCAAAATAAACATAAGTAAAACAATTGCTGGACATTGGCTGATTAAGGCCCGTGTGCTATGCAATGCATTGAATTTTATGATATTTTCAGGTGGAGTTATGCTACATACGCCATGTTTTACACCTGTGTATGTGAATCGTTCGCATTTAAACAAACGCAATAAGCTAAATTATGAAAGAGACAGTGTTTTTGGAGAAAACATCACGTGGTCTAAAATCAGGCTATGTTCACATTATACCGCACACTAGCTTTTAAGCCGGCACGAAAACCGGGTAGGGCTAGCCTTCTGTGCACAAATAAGAACGGTTATTTCGGAGCGATAGTTCTGTAAAGGAGCGAAGCACCGATTTCTGAAGTGGAGAGTCACGTATGGATAAGCGTTTATACTATGCCGGATGGCTTTTCTGCAGTCCGGTGTGAATATAGCCTCAGGTTCTGTTTCGAAGCCAGGCTAAGTGCTAAGCCATTGATATGAAAATGAAGTTGCACTCTTGAAAGCTCTCTTTCACTCAAGAAAGGGTTTCCATTTAGCCTCGTTTTGAAAGCGAGAGTTTCATGAACTCGGAAATGGCCTCAGTCCTTATTTTACAGGGGGTCTTTACAATGGGGCTACTCCTAAACGCTTATAATTACTACTGGATGGGGGGTTGTTATAATCCCTTGAGGCTACTTCTAATTGTTTATAATTACGACTGGTTTAATTTCTTACACTTCGACTAGGACTTTTAGTTTATATCCTTATAGCAATCTTTATTATGGTTAAACTATTCACGTAAAAAGCTATATACATGCTCAACCGTTTCTAATTCTAATTCTAATCTATTTTTCTTTGCACAGTGTATAATTACTAGATATTCTTAAAAACGCCCCCACAACAAAGGTATCATACTAATAAATGACAAAGAGTGTGTTTTATCGGTATCAGATGGGTATCTCACTAAATATCAATATACGTTTAAATAATTGTCCATAAAATATAGATTAAAATTCAATAGAAATGATTGACTGATTTAGCTTTAATATGGTCATTCGAAGTTGTTGTTACAAATTCTTCATTCTCTATTATTTTTCTTGTAAAATCGAAAACCTAACAACGATTTATATGCACGAGGCGCGGCTTCTCGTTTCACTACTGGGTTCGGCACGTTTTTTTCTTCTCGGATTTAATTTTTTAAGGAGAGTTTAGAGTTTTTCACCGGAATTGTTCATAATAATTTTAATTAAATTTTATATAATATGGTCTATAACAGAATGGACTAGTGAAAGATGCTGTCTGTTCGTCAATTTACAATAATGAAGTGAATCCAATGGTTGCAACAGACAACAATTTCAATCAGATTGTCTATATACTCTTATAGATGCCACTGCAAACTTTGAATATTTTATATCTATTTTTATGATCTATATTTAGAAAGGAAAATTGGTGTGTATTTGTTTAATTATATCTAATTATTTCCCGCTGGAAGAGGTTTACAATGTTATATATAGGGTGGAAATGAATTTTTTTTTTAATATTGGAATTACAGGTCATGAAGCATATACCCTGCACAATAGTCTGCCGAATACAGTCAGCAGTTTTCGTAAAAAGCAACTTCTTAACAAAACCGTCAAACACGAGACAGAGTGTTTCTTTGGAAATTAAATAAGAGTAAGAACACCTGGTAAACTAACCTAAACGTGAATACTTACATAAACCATTCTCTTCAAAGTTTGGTAAGGTTTCTCACAGCATTTAGACTACGAGTAGTCCCCATTTTTCCTCAGGGATAGTAGAGCGAGCGAAACGCGAGCGCGGGAGAAAATCACCCCACGCGAGAAAGGCGAGACACGGCAGAGAGAGAGAGAGAAAAATGAGGGACTACAGACAGAGTCCAAGCTTTTGACCTTTCACGGCCGACTGATTTTGGAGTGTGAATTTCGTATCGCCTTTCAAATCAATTAAGCCCATCCAATGGGATTCCTTCAATGGAAGGGTGAAAAGCTTGGGCTTTGATTTTTCTCTCTCTCCGCTGCGTCTTGCCTTGCTCGTGTGGTTTGATTTTCACGCGCGCTCGCGTTTCGCTCGCTCTACTATCCCTGAGGAAAAATGGAGACTTCTCGTAGTCTACTCAGCATTCATATAGAATGGTTTTCATTTAAGCGTTGCGGACTCTTTTATAATGATTGTAATATCTGTAAAATCGGGCTCTAAACCTGCTTAAGGGGGCTAAGTCACACCATTTGCCATCTTTTTACATAACGTGTCTTCGCATCATTTGAATTCCAAAAATAATGGGAGAGTTTTATTATTTAATACTATATTTAAGCATTGAAACTGTTTCGTGGGATGTTTGTTGCTACGGATGGTAATGGTGGAAATTCATCATTATTAATTTGCCTTTTATCTTCTTCACAACGCTACAAGAGCATTTTGTGTATAGCACTACGTAATAACGACAGCACACAATTGACCTAAAACAGCACTACCCTACCGGTGACATGACCCCCTCAAGTTTAATTCGATTTAGGGTTTTATACAAGTTCACGCCGCATTTAAAGAGCTGTCGTGAATTTAAAGGTTGGTATTTTTGCTCATTAAGTGACTGTCGTAGAGATAGACGTCATCCGAGCCTGCTGTCAATCGGATGCGGACTATCTGATTAGAGCCATGCGGCCTGGCTTGCCATACTTCACCAAACTTGCTTCGAACGAGGCAGGTGATCAGTTGGAAGTCTTTTCTTGTCCATTGAGGCATGTTTGAGTATCGATGAGCACCTTAAAAAAATAATAAATCAATAAGTTAATAAGTTAATAAATAAGAAAATAAGCACAATTTTGGTTTGGCTTCCACCATGGGCTGCTGAAGAAAAGCTGTTGTAAAAATCCGCATCGTTCCGCCAACCTCTGCTATTAAAACTTATAGCTCCTCATATTCTTCTTTTTGAGGGCTTGGGGGGTGGAGGTGTTGCTTCTATTGTTTGTTTCTAAAATGGCCTCTTCAGGAGGCCATTTTACAATCCAGGAGTCGTTGTTATGCCTTCTGGTCTAATTTTCGTGATGGAACTGATTGAAAAAGTAACATAGGAACTCTTTATTTATTGGTGGACATAAAATTCTAAATGAAAAATTTTGGCTGATAGTTGCAAATCTGACCTATTGGTAACTTTATTTACTCAAAACTATCCTGATTTCAGCGCTAATAGGACAGTGTAATAGGTCAGTACGCGTCGTGCCTATGTAACTGGAGTACGGGCCATCGCACGTGCGCACTTGAATGCCTTTTTTTCACTGCTAGCAAATACCCCTGGAATTTGTTGTGTTTTAATTTCATAAAAAGCCTTAAATATCACAAATTTGTTTATAGCTATTATTAATCAATGACAGAACTTCGTGTCGGCCAATTCGGTCGGTAATCATACTCGCAATGAAACAAATGGGATGACCACGTAGCATTAATTACTCGTATGATTACAACCTTTATTGGATTCCACTCAGTCCCATCCATTATTAACTGCTGTTATAGACGACTCCTATAGAATGAGAAAAGTAAATTGTAGTACTTTCTGACTAAAAACGACCGTGAGACGTAGTTCCTTACCCACATCCCCAAAGACTCTTGATCATATTTCTGGACTTAAGTCGAATGGCGATTTGCGCAAGTTACCATAAAAACATATAATTTATGCCCTGTTTGTAGTTTACCAGGCACCAGAGGTAACCTCAAGAGAGAATACTGGGACCGGGATATGCGAATTTCACCAACGTCATTTTTAGACCATTAATTGCTTGGATTAATCGGAAGTTGGTCGCCTGAGAGGTCCGCAAACTTTCATCAAGCGTTGCCAAGAGAGAATTCAACAGTCGCCATCACAAAATAATATTCTGCATTTTTTTGCATTAAGGACTTGATTTCAGGGTTTGGTTTAAATGTGTCAGCGACACCTCCGTTTAATTCCAACCTCTAAAAATAGCTTTTGTAAAATTCACATATCCCGGCCAACGCCCTAAGATTCCCTTCTCTGTCCTAATGGTCTCTTGGTAACCTATGATTGTGGCCTTGGAAAACTTGGCAAAGAAATCTACCTTTCTCTTTTACCTGTCTCTATAAAAATCTAGATTTACCAAAATAGTACATCGGTGACAAAAACGACAAACCTCTGTTGCAGACAACTTGAGTCAATGGGCGCCGTCTTCTATTAGAGCTCACTTTGTGCAGCATATACGCAATGGCGATGAGGGAACTAAAAATCGTACCGGCAACAATCTGGGCCCAAATCAGTAACCTTAACTTTCTGATCGACTCTTCAATTTCTAAAGAAAGGTGACAGAAAGACAAAAAGAAATCGAAAGAGCTATGGTACAATTATTCAGCTACCTTAATTGTGGTCTGTTTTGATATTTTCTCATACACTGAACGATTCTGATCTGCTGTTAAACTCGGTCGCTTGAGTATCCGATTTAAGGTATCGCTATAGGTCTTAAATTTTATTGAAGTCTCAGAGAGGTTTAGTCAATTAGGCCTCGGCTGTTCAAACGATGGATTGGGCTATCCATTGGATAAATCAGTATCCAGCGGATAGCTTTTTCGTTAGTTCAGTAACTACACAATAACCACACCAGTAGTTCATTGAGCGTAAACTACATGTAGCTGTGGGAAAAATAGCCAAAAATACGATTTTTTTAAATATAAATGTGTAGCATTACTTGTAAGTAAGTGGTAAACACTCATTTATCAACGATACAAAAACTAAATTAGGAAAAATAGCTATGGTACACTGTTATTAAGTTGTAGTGAGCTCACTAACGTAAACAGGAAGATAAACTGATAGTAATTTAAAAGTTAAGTCATACTCATCAGGGACACAGTGAACAGACCTGGAAAGAGAGTCAGAGCTGAAAAGGGAAAGCTAACTTGGTCCGGAGGAAACTACACGCTAAATAACCCGACGAAGCGCGCGTTGAGAAAACAGAAAAAATAACGGTTAACGGTGAAGCGGAAACCTTGCGCTCTTCTTGTTCTGACTCTCTTTCCGCACGTTTCAAACCTTGGTACCACAGCTGGCCCTAGGTTTCCTGAGTCAACTAGCACAAGTCCATGTTTAATGAATAGATAATCGGTATCTCATAAGTCTAGAATTTTCCAACTTCCCCGGCTGTTTTAACCTGAAGTTAGGGAACAACTGTGTTATTTATTAGAGAGAAATTTATCCAGCGGATAGCGTGATCCATCTTTTGAACAACTGCCAATAAATTTGCTAGTCATTCCTAGTCCAATCGAGAATTGGAATTAATTCCTACCGCTTTTCCCCTTCTCTTCCTCAACAAATAGTACCAAGAGGCCGTTACATCTGTCCTCAGTACAACAGCAGAAGTACTCTTTGGCCGCTTGTTTGGGAGAGTTTCTTTTTCGTGCATGCGCAATACACATTAATGATCCACACTCGAAGCTACTCTTCTGCGCGCAATCTTGCATCACAACACTCGGTCCAAGTCCCCTTTGATTTCGCTTGAACAATGCACAGCATGCCGGCTTGACTCCAGGGAAGTGAACACACTGCTGAAGTGTGTAGCACGAAGAGTTTGTGGGTGCTGTAGGATCGGACTTTTTGCATTTCGGGTCAAACAGGGCGCAGTCTAATGCTTTGGTTGCAGAAGCAAATACTGCAATGAGATGATCAAGTTATCTTTAGTCGTTTCTGATATCTCTGAGTAAATTTTTAAAGGCTCGCTTAGTAAATCGTAATAAGCAGCAACACTGGATGGGGTACTTAAGCCAGACAGCTCAGGGAACAGTTTAAATTAATTTAGTTATGATTATACGAACCCCCCTTGATGTAAAAGTGAATTTGAGATAGACTACCACACAGGGGACTACATCCCTACTCCTTACGAGCAGTGCGTGGGTCCTTTAACGTCCTACAGAATTTCATAAGAAAGGGGGCTGTAAGACGGGACCTACACGGCTTTTGTCTTTATCCAAGAAGAATAGACAGGCTAACCGTTTGCAGATGACGTTACAAATGGAGCACTTTATCCTCAAAGACCCTCAGTGTTGGTCTGGGCGGGGTTCGCTTGGCATGACCAGTGCTATAATCCAACTGAATATCTTCGTACCCAAAACTTCTGGTAAATTGTACTCATCTTACTATTGTAGACTGTATGAGTCGCACGTTATCAACCGTTTATTATCCTATGCAAAGATTCCGGTTGCCGCAAGTTCGAGATAGCTCCAGGTCCAAACGCTTGCCTGGATGGTGTTATAACCTCATGTAACCTAAACTAAAACACCCCTCTGTAACAGAACTAGTGGAATGTATATCTTCTCACTGGGTTCTAGGAGAAAATGTCATTGGGTTGGTTTATTTTCCACTGGGTTTTTCTTCTTAGTTGTATACTTCCTATAAAAGCGGAAAGGGATGGTAGGCCTTACATTTTTACCAACATTAAAGCTTGGAACACCTTTTACGTTTGCTGTAGCGAGAAGAACTAAACTGTTTACATGTTTTTTATGCGAGATTGATTACCTGTAGCCTCCTCTGTTAATAATGTCTTATATTTTTGCTCCTTTCAAACAAATATGAACAACGAAATACACTGGTCTTGAAGAAGTGATAAACAGAAAGTGACCGGGAACACAAAAAATCAGCTGGGTAGATACAAAAGATTCGCCGGGCATCGGGGAAGCGAAATTTTTAGGGTTTCACTGCATGGGTCTGTTACAGACTGAGGCGTCTCAAGGGGTTTGGTTCTTTATATTCACTCGATCGTAATTAAACCATTAAAGTTGAGACCCAATGGATTTATTTGAATCAGAATTGCAAATTCAAAGTGCTCCAGCGTACATTATTACGAGCTCCTCTGCATTCCCTCAGGTTCTAGAGATTTTGCAACTTTTCTTAGCATGTTTGCTCAGAGTAACTCTTTACGGTGCATGGTCATATTGTTGCAACGAAACCAGTGTTTCAGTAGTTTATATCATAACAACGATTATGTCTAATAAATTAGTTCGTAAACGCAGATTTCTGCCCTGGCAGTGATCGTCAAGAGCGAGACATCGAGCCATTAACAGTTGTGGAAAATCGTAATCACAGAGGTTTTCGTTTACTGAAAACTATGACAAGAGACGATAATGCCTTTTAAGCATAAATGACATCCTACGGGTGGCCGCTATTTGTTTCTTGGGTCTTCTTTTTACAACATGATCATGTTAAGTATCTGGTTAATGTGTTCTTTAAGTTACCATACCGAAGAAGGGTAGCACTCAAGTACTGTTATTTAACCCTTTAATCCATATTGTAGAAGAGAGAAGTTTAATCTAAGGTACTTACATGAAATGTAGATACACCAAAGCATTTTAAACGTCGCCTTTGCTGACTTCGTCCTCTCTGCTCATTGGAGACAGAATACCCTATTAGTTAAGAGCCTAGATTGGCCATTTTTTCCTGGTAACGTAAATTAAAGACCAAAATTATGAGTCTGACAAACTCCAATCCCAAAGGCTGAGTCAACTTTTGCCGATAATTGAATCTCGGAAAATCGCCTTTCGTCTCTCTGCCGATAGAAATCTCGCTGTCGCCTTCGAATATTCAATTACCTTTTCGGGTGTAAAGAAAAATAGAGATATGGGGAACTATAAGTAAAAAGCATCAGTCCGACCCAAATTTTCCCTCACTTTCAACTTTTAATTTGCCGGTATCACTTTTCTGAAATGCTGTGGAGCGTCACATTATCTATAGCAATACCAATTAGAAAAGTCGATTCGATGGCTGATATAAATAAACGCTGGAAATTAAGGCTACCGGTTTGTATTTCAGCCTGGAGGCACATTCCCGATTTGATTTTGTTACCGAAATAACCTGAAGCGGACTGATAAATGAAATCCATGATATTGGTTCTGTTTATTATAGGTATTAAATATTCTGGTTTGAATGCAGATTGACGTAAACAGGTCATGTTCATAACAGCGTCGTTAATTCTTGCTACAACTACAACTACCATAAGCAATGTCATAGTTTAACTACTGATTCAAATTTACCTTTTGATTCACACGAGAAAATGAGAATTCTGACATAGTAAAATTGGACGCAGTCCGGCGGCGCGAAAACAAAATAATTGTGGCCGGGGTGTTTAATGAAGGTAAAAGTGTTTGGTACAAATGCAACGGTGTTTGTTCACTTTCTTGGGCGGGACAGTTTTCCTATAGATTATAACCAAAAAGTACAGTCTACAGAGCATACGTAATACTCACAACAAGTGATATCTAAAGGAACTCGCTTTATGGAACATACTACCATCGCACTACATGGAAACAAAATCTGATATGTACGAGCCCGACCTAAAACCAATTTTCACGAAACACCCTTGCATTAGGTTCTTCAAATCAAACCTTGCCAATAAAGAGGATAAAATTACACTTTCCGGAGGACGAATTTTTACTGAAATAATCCTCATAAAAAGTTGAATTTAAAGAAACAAATCTAGATATTCTGCATGAAAAAATCGACAGCAACAGCACAAGAAAGTCTTAATGCATGGTGACAAACCGTTTACCAATTCGTATCCGATCTATAAAAGACAGTAAGCTTTTAACAAACTTTTTGTAAAGAGACGATTTAGTGATTGATATAAAAAATGACCTGCTCCACTGTTTGAAGAAAACTGACATCTAGCAGTCCAACAAACTGTCTGAGAACACATTACTAGAGCTAATTCTTGCCATTGAATGGTTCGTGTTCCTGATAACCACATCACACCCGTCATAACCAGCAGTAATTCATTTTCTATGGATTTTGGGCTCCCACAACAACTACCAACCCAGACCAGACTTTTCTCTGAAGAGGCATGGACTGAAATGAACGTCGTGTAACCATATTGGAGGGACAAAAAGGCTTCCCGCTCTTTTAAGTTTTCACGATTTTATCTGAATTTAAATTTTAACCTTACTGATTCCTACAGATTTTCGTTTGACAGTGCTAATGTATCTTGCCTTTAAATTCTCGGCAGATTTTGCATCGATTTAGTCGAGAAAACTCCCCCTATTGGCTTCACGAGGCCAGTGGCGAATAAAATAAGTTCAGAATTAGTTCCAAAACGAATCTTGATCATTGTTACGACACAGGTTCGGTTAAAAAATAAACCATGCAATCTTTTCAAATGGGGTTGACCTAAAATATCCTTGTTTTACGCTTGTTTAAGTGAATCTGTGAATCTGTGAAAAGTGGCGATATACAAATCGCCCTAAACATGCCTTGTGTTCAAACCAGCGCCATCACTTGAACTGTACTCGGAAGCCTGAATATCAGAGGAATAAACTGAAACAAGTGAAACGCAATTTCAATTTTATTGCAATGTAGTAGTTGCTCTTTAAATCACGAAGTCAGAAGTAAGATTCCGTTAGAATGAAACAAACTGAGCAATATAACTGAGTGGCTTGAGAAACAAAACACACTGTTTTTTGCAGTATTTGTTTCTTTGCAGAAGCTGTATCTCACCGAGTCGCATCTCTACTCCAGGTACAAATTGAAGCTATCTGTGAGAATAATATTAAAACAAACAGATCGAGGAACAAAAACCGCTGCTTGATATATGTACGGACTAAATACTGAACTTACAATGCTCATTTTCAATCATTCTAATCACTAGCCTTTATTATTATACTTATTTAAAAACAATGCTTTTTCTATCTTTTTCCTTCTCTTAAACCGCAATTGATCACAGAATCCATGTGAATTTTCCAAGTAATTTACCTTACGTGTATACTGACTCATATCAGAAACGAAATTGACGACTATGAACAATAATACATGTATGTTAGTTAATGGGTAGTAAACTCTAGATAAGGAAAATTAACATAAGTGAAGTTCACACTTAACTATGAAAGATTTGGAATTTTCTGTACATGAACCTATCATAAAATTAAAGAATTCATTCATGTGAAAACATGTTAGGAGGTTTATGTACTATGAAATATCGTGGAACGGCCTACCTTTTCAGCCTTTTTACAATTTCTAAGAAGGCGCTCGGTTAATCCTACTTGTCACTTCGTAGAGTGGTTAACCGCCAAAAGCTGACTAGTACGTAAACCCGCTCAGCTAAAATATGTTTAGAGCTATATAGTGTTTTAAACGCGCGTCAAAAGTAAATACAAGCATTTTGTGGTGATCTTGAACGCAAGATTCAAATGTCTTAATTGGTGTCAGCACTGCTAAAATGCGTTAATAGATGTCACTCACTATGAGATACACCAATCAAATCACCAAATACCGCCACCAAATCCTGTCTGCAGCCTGCTTCTTTTAGCATTCATGTCTGGTAAAAATTCAAATCCGTACGTGCTCTGTGGAGAATCTTCGAAACCACTGTTTGTTGATGCATCTGCGTTAACGCCTGGTCTACCGGTTTAACAGTGTAAAATTAACATTGACTGATAATCCCTTAAGGGTATTAGAACTAACAATTTTCAATTATTTTAACATCAAAGTGTCAGTA